CTTTACATAACAGAGTTAAGAATCCAACTTCTCCACCTTAAGCATTTATATAGTCTTATCAAGTTACTGTGACCTTTCTGTATAAATCCAGACAATTCATGGCCCTTTTCTCCCCACTTATCTTACTGAAAATCTGATGTTTCTTTCATGACAAAGGGCTTTAGCATTTTCCTTTGTAATTGAGCCAATACTAATTTTCTTTATTAAGCACTGACTACATACTTTGGTGGTTAATGCCTTTCAAACACAGAGTACAGCTTGGTGATTTATTTTTCATTTTATCATTACTGGTTTCATTAATACTCAGTAGAAAAAAAATCCTTCGCCTTCCTATAGATTGCAAGGTCTTACTAAAAATTGATCTACATGTTTATTATTTTAGGAAATGTTATGAAGGTGAGACTGACATTAAGCACAGGAGGGCGCACAAATAAGACTACTTCCTCCTGATGAAGCAGAGATGGAGGTATGTGGGATCTGGGTGGGGACGAGAGGGAAGAAAAAGGAGCTACATACTCAGGGAACCATAAGAAAAAGATATCAGACCTTCATCCCCACCCCAAACAGGTTCTACAGTGTTACATCCACACTAGAGAAGAAACTCTAAGATTAGAGTTGAAATATGACCTGGTGAAAACATGTAGCTCATAAAAAAGTGTTTTATGCTTATATTGAAGGAGTTTTAATAGTTCCCTCAAAAACCTTGACAAATTGGGACACCTGGGTGGCTCAGGTCATGACCCCTAGGTCCTGGGATTGAGTCCCACGTCGGGGCTCCCTGCAGGGAGCCTGCTTCTCCCTTTGCCTGTGTCTCTGCCTCTCTCTGTGTCTCTCATGAATAAGTAAATAAAATCTTAAAAAAAAAGACCTTGACAAATTAAAATTACAAAGCAACATAAGTATATCTGCTAGTAACTGTCAAGAATTATGAACACCTCATGGTTCACGGTTAAGGAGCCAGATGTGGTAGGACAGGAAGAAAACTAAACACAGAGCCAGCTAATAAGAGGATGCATGTGGAAATGGCGCCACAGGCTTGAAAGGATTATGTAAACATCAGCTACAACTATTCTTATTATTAATTTGTCACCAAATGGAAATCTACAACACAGGAGTGTGTGAGATCAGTACTCAGTCAGCACAGTGGAGCGACAGTGTAACTCTAAAGCAGGGTGTCCAGCCTCAGGGCTGCGGAGACCTCAGGCCCTTGGCTGTGGGAACGCGGCCCGGGCACTGGAGGATGTTTCGCAGCATCCCTGACCTCTACCCCTCGGGGCCAGCAGAACTTCTCCCACCTACTCCCTCCATTAGTGAAAAGTAGAAATGTCTCTGGACACCGCCAGACAATGCAGAACTGCTCCTGGCTGGAAACCATGTTAAAGCATAAGAAAAACAGAAATTATGGCTCTTCCACACAAATTGAGGATGAGAGACAGCCAATATGAACTAGAGTAAAGATGTCCCTCACTGGGCACAGATGGCTGCCGAACACTTAAAATGTGGCTACTCTGAATTGAGATACGCTGTACAAGTAACACACACTCTAGACTGGAAGACTTAGTATGAGAAAGAGAATGCAAAATATTTCAGTAATTTTTTACATGCTTCTTCTGGGATGTCTATCATGCAAATTAAGATAATATTTTTTACATGGATTACATGCTAAAGTAATATTTTAGATACAGTGGGTAAAAATAAAATACATTATGAAAATTAACTTTATCTGTTGTTATTTACTTTCTGTGTCTCACATTGTATTTCTACATTCTACCAGACAGTGCTGAACTTGTGCAAAAAACTATCCCTCCTCCATACTGTATATTCCATGCAGCCTTTGATGACAAAGAAGGGAACTAAAAGTGCTCTGTCCTCAGCTTTCTTCTTATACGCTCTATATTCTCCTTGCACGATCTCCAGCCTTGATGCTTCAATGAGATTACTACTAATCTCCAAGTTCTATCTCCTGTTCAGAGCTCAGCTAAAGCCTAGATCTGGGGGGCCTGGCTGGCTCAGTTGGTAGAGTATGTGACACTTGATTTCAGGGTTGTGAGTTCGAGCCCCCACAATGGCTATAGAGATTACTAAATTTTAAAATAAACTAAAAAAAAAAAGAGCGAGAGATCCCTATGTTTTTAAAAAATAACACATAAATAAAACCTAGATCCATATACCTAACAACTTACCAATTCCACTTGGACATCCTAAAGTAACCCCAAACTTAAATGATCCTCATTTCAAAATAGATTCCTCCAGGAAGTCCCCATTTTAGTAAACGGCCCCATTGACCAGGTTCTCAATCAAGAAACCTGAAAGTCATCCATGACTTCCCCCTTCTCTTTCATCCCACTTGCAATCTCTTACAAAGTTCTGCTTCATTTACTTCCTAAATATTTCTGGAATCCTCCTTCCTCCAATGCCATTGATTGGGCCCAGTCACCATTACTTCCCTTTATGTCAACTCCTTCCCTCTTCCCTTTATACTTTTTTTTTTTAATATTTTTTTTAATTTTTTTTATTTATTTATGATAGTCACACACACACACAGAGAGAGAGAGAGAGAGGCAGAGACACAGGCAGAGGGAGAAGCAGGCTCCATGCACTGGGAGCCCGATGTGGGATTCGATCCCGGGTCTCCAGGATCGCGCCCTGGGCCAAAGGCAGGTGCCAAACCGCTGCGCCACCCAGGGATCCCCTTCCCTTTATACTCTTATTAAACCCTGCCCTGCCCTGTCTTTCCTATTAGAACATTACCCTACACGAGGTCAGGAACTTTCTTGTTTTTTGCTGTGTCTCCCGCTCTCTGATGAATGAATGAATGAGAAAAGAGGGTACAAACTGCTAACTCACAGGCTGCAATTTACTAAAGAGCTAGACTACAAAAACAACGGTTCCATTAGCACAGGAGGCCTGGAAAATATCTGTCTTCATGTCTAAAAGCAGTGCTGATATGTTGACACAAGTCTTAGGATTCTAGAAGTGGAGAAAAAGTGCTTGGCCACTATGTGCCTTGCACACTCATCCCTAACAGATCTTTCTATTGTGCCTAAATTCACACTGTAAACTTTCTAGATGCTGGATCAGGAAAGAACAGCTGAAGAATGTCTTTTATAATCCTCCAGCCTTGTGGGAAAAGGATGCTTGACATTTTCCATCTTCAATGTCATAGTCCCAGAGTACCCATAGTTTCCAAGATACCCAGGGAAAAACAGCTAAAAGTTATGCAAAGCTTCAAACAATCATGAACTATTTCTGAAAGAAAATTATTCTCCCAGAATATAAATTCAGGATAAATCTCTCCTCATTAGGGATCCTCAATTTACTTTCGTGCCTAAGCCAGCCTCATCCCCCTGTGCACGCACGACTAGTTTGAAAGGGGTGAGGACAGACTATGGCAGTGTCTAGCCTAACTAGAAAGTTACAGCTGCTATTGATGAGGACGTGTTAAAGAGTCAAGAACTTTATAGATGTTGGTGGTGTTTTGGGTATTCCAGAACTAGGCTAAGGAAGAGGGATTTGTAAAAAAGAGTCCAGGCAATACATGTATTTAGAGAAGAGCATGTAGACACAGAAGCAAAAATCAGATCCGTGTCTCCATTCACCTTTTGCCATGGGCTCTCCCAGAAGTGGGAGTAGGGGTGGGGGCAGGAAAGACACAGGTTATATGTGTTTAACTCTTTTATTGTCTTACCCAGAAATCATATAAAAGACCAATCTTTTATAGTTATGGGGAAAGGAGGTGGGGTCTTGATTAAAGAATGTTAGGAAACATTTTTTGTAAATGTATTTTCTCTTCATTTTTTCCTCCTTTGATAACCCCCAAAAGAAAATGATGGCAATTATCAGGTTCATACCAATTCAGCCAGTGGGATAAAAAGATTTAGCGAACAAGCAACTTTTTTTTCTCAATTAGATGCTCTGTTTCTTTCTGGGAAGGACTCAAAAATGGTGGGTAACTTTCCAAAGCCCATTTTTCCCCTTAAAATCTGGTAAATCTTTACCATCATAATGTCCAACACTTGCCCTATCTCCACAAAAGCACTGGGTTTTGGTAAGAGTGAGGTAGCTGAGGAATTAACAACAGGGAGTAGTAGACTTGGGAGAAACACACAGAATCCCAGTCGTACCACCCGGTCTTCACACGGCCTTCAGTAAGTCTCTCGGTCACATGTGCTCAGCGGGGGTGATCTCACTCCCAACAGGACAAAAGCTGGTTCAGGGCTGGGCAGTATATGAGCTTGCGCTTTGTGTGATGAAGAAGAGAGCTGCAGATAGCACATGAATAAGACATACCGTGGACCTGTGGTGTTAAATTTCATGAGAGGGAAGATTAGGGGAAAATGATGTCTAAAAAGGCTCCTTGGACGAGAGGAAAGTTAGGTAAAGAACAGAAGGCTGAGAGATACTGCCCTTAGCCTTTATTCCTCAACTGTCAAAATGGATCACCATCACCCACTGTAAGGAATTATTATGGTAAAACCGTATCTAAATGCACACAAGAGAGGGGCACCTCGGTGGCTCAATTGGTTCAACAGCTGGTTCTTGATTTCGGCTCAGGTCATGCTCTCAGGGCCCTGGGATCAAGCCCTGCTTCGGCTTGCTCTGAGCTCTGTGGAGAGCCTGCTTGAGATTCCCTCCCTCTCCCTCTGCCTCCCCCCGCCCCCGCTCATGCGTGTGCATGCACATGCTCTCTCTCTCTCTAAAATAACTAAATCTTTAAGGATAAATACATACATATGTATGTACATCCAACAAAATAGAATGAATGACAGAAAATAAAGCAGAGAAAACAACAAAAATTGTAAAAACTCATTAAAATGTAATTAAAACCACAAAGATCCAAATATATATAATGTTACTAACAATCAACTGTATGAACAAGATAATTTCCTTCTCCCTACTCATTTTACCGACTGAATACCTAAAATCCAAAAAGAAAACGTACAGTTAAAGTTAAATAAAAAGTGCAAGATGCAATCTATAAATGTGGCAAAGATACGAACCTAAAACACCAATTTTAAGACCTGCCAAGCTTGTTTTAATTTTATCATAAATATCTTCTGATGCAAAGTCAACAGCAACGGTCCTTGTTTCCACCTTGAATTTTTCTCCTATGGAAAAAACACAAATGGAGAGAGAAGGAAAATTATAACATGGCAATTAAGATTAAAGCATTTGATGACATTTCCTTTTCAGGCTCTCACCCTCCCCCACCCCAATTTGATATGAAATTTAGACTAGGATCATGTTAAGCAATCATGAGACCACCTAAGAGATGATACAGAGTCAACACAATAATTCTGCAATAAAAACTCCAATGTTGTTACAGAGCTGCCTGCCTGTTCCTTAATCAGTTCTCCTTCTATAAATCAGTGACTCCTTTTTAGACCCTTAGGTACAAATAATAAAACATGATTCATATAATAATGTTATATACTCTTTAAATATCATTGGTTTTGTGTTTTAATTGCAAATTGATATTTCATAATTTTAGGTAGAAGTCTTTATGTTGTAAAATGTTTTAAAGTGTGGTTAGAAAAGTCCATCTTATTAAAATGTAAATAAGATGCATATGACCGTTGTGGAATTTAGGGGCTTGGGTAATAGTTAATCGTCACTACATTAAAAAGAAAAAAACACAAAATACACAGAAGCAGAGCTACAAAGTGACAGAAGAGAGATCCCAGTGTTCTGCTTCGCTCAGGACGACTGAGCACACGCGCTACTGGACATTGCGCGTGGAGAGGTGGGACTCTGGAGAAGCGGGACTCACTGAGGTAGAAATGCAGAATGTTTACTTGTGCCCTCCCTCGTGAGCCACTGGAGAAGAAGGCGAGGACTGTGGGGTCCCCCGGTGTGGGTATCAGTTTTATTTTCATACCTATTTGCTAAATAACTTTGAGTGGGTCACATACCTCCACCAGCCTCAGCATCCTCTCCTGAAGATGCAAGTAGTGCTGGCCAACCCACGAACCAAGGCCCAAGTGCTAACTGGTGGTACACAGGGGCACCTCATAAATGCTAAGTCTCCTCTCTCCCCCACCGACCTCGCTCTCACCTCACTTAGTGCAGTGCAGGTGGCTAAGAAGGTTTACTCTTTGGAACTTTACTGAGAGTTCAAAAGAATTACTTGAAACATCCTGCTTCCAAAAAATACTTTTTTCTTCAATCGAAGTTGATGTTGGCTCATCACAGGGCATACGTGAGTCCACACAGACGTTACTGTTCTTGATCTAACAGGACTTCTGCCTACAGCTGAAGAGCTGGTTCATAAGAGATCTGTTTTTTAGTCTCCTTGAAAAGCCTTTTTTCTTTAAAGATTTTATTTACTTATTTGAGAGAGCAAGCGCACATGAGCAGTGGGGAGGGGCAGAGGGCGAAGCAGGCCCCCAGGGAGCAGGGGGCCCAAGGCGGGGGTCCAGGCCAGCCCCCACCCTGGGGCCCTGGGATCGCGGCCTGAGTCACCTGAGCCGAAGGCAGGTGCCCACCCAGCCAAGTCACGCATGTGCCCCTCAGGGAGAAGCACTGCCCGAGGCGGGAACCACGAAGGGACGCAGAGGAGACTGCGGCCCAGGCCAGACCGCATGCGGCGTCAGGGGCACACTTGCTCTTGCAGTGCACGGGTTCTTGCACGTGCTCGTGCAACGGGGCCACAGACAGAGCTGTCCCCTCGCAGCAGCTCACCAGCAGGTCTTCTCAGAAATGCTTCCCAGGATTTCACCCCAAGTACAGAACACTGCCCCCCTAGAGCCACAGACCCGCCAAGGAAGGAGGCGCACAGCAAAAGGCTGAAGGATACCTTTTAGTAAATGTAAAACTTCATTCAGGAATGAAATAAGATAAATTTATCTATTTGTTTTGGGAAAAACAAACTGTGTTTCCATACTAGTGCTATATCCTGACATTTAAGAAGATTCTCTCTAGTAATAAAAGCACCTCACAATTCCGGAATCAAATTTACTCTTTTAGATCTCACCGGATTTGGGGAATGTACTTATAATGTGGACTCTTACAGCCAGGCTGCTAAAAATATTCAGAGACCCTTACAGAAAGAATGTCATCTTATTTAATAAGAACGCTCAAGTAAGCTTCTCTTTGTGCTCACACTGGGTAAGCCAAATGGCTTCTGACGCAGGCTTTCTGGAGAAATCCAGTTTTGACCTCGCCCGTGGGTGGCTGCGCGTCCCAGGCTGGTGGCTCCGTGGCCGCCGCAGGCCCCACTGTGGCTGCTTCTCCAGGGCCCGGGCCTGGCTGTGCCAGCCCATAAAGCACAGGCCGCCGAGCACAGGCCACTGAGCAGAGGCCACCGAGCAGAGGCCACTGAGCAGAGGCCGCCGAGCAGAGGGCACCAAGCAGAGGCCACCGAGCACAGGCCGCAGAGCAGAGGCCACCGAGGAGAGGCCGCAGAGCACAGGCCGCAGAGCACAGGCCGCAGAGCAGAGGCCACCAAGCACAGGCCGCAGTGGTGGCCTGACGCTGCTCGGGCCCACCACCCCTCCCTGCCCCGGGTGGCCCCGGTGCCAGCCATACAGGCCCTGAGCAATTCTCTCTCTCTCTCTCAAGATTTTACTTATTTATGAGAGCGAGAGAGAGCGAGCATGCGTGCACATGATGCGGCAGGGAGGAGTGGACGGAGGGGGACAGTCTGCGCCACACTGAGTGCAGAGCCAGTCGCAGGGCTCGAGCCCAACCCTGAGGTCACGACCCGAGCCAAAGATCAAGAGTCCGACGCTTCCGGACTGAGTCACCTGGGTGTCCCCTGAGCAATTCCTTAAACTCAGAATGTCCCCCAAACACATTCAGAACTTTTGCACTTACTGTTCTCTCTGCCTGGAACGCTCGTCTGCATCCCCTGCGCCTGTTGGGTCTTTAAGCAAATGTTACCTCTTCAGGGAAGCCTTCCTTGACTACCTTTAAAGACCCACAACCACTCCTCCGCTAGCACCCTCCTGCGCCCACCCCCCCGCTTTATCTCATTCCATGGCACCTAACTGTCCTCTAATATTCTATATGCCTTAATGATGCATGTGTGTTTGTCGTCTGCCTCCACCAGCATTAAACTTAGTGAAGGCAAGAGCTTGGGTCTGTTCTGTTCAGTTGTTCAACAATATCACAAAGAACCCAGGGTCTTTCCTCCCTCCTCTCTTACTCCCTTGGGTTGGCTCCCCTCCCTCCTAGTTTCACAAGGGCCACTGCCCTTGCAAGCATCCCATATGGATGGCAATGTGCAATGGCAGAAATGGGACATCAAGTTATATGTCCCTTTTATAGGGTCAGGGGAAATTTCCCCAGAGTCCAGCCAACTCCTCTCCCATTTGTTTTCCCAGAATTATGAGATATGCATGCTCTTGACCTAGCCCATGGATGGGCTTTAAGGATCCCATGAACTGCCCCTACTACCACCATGCAGTTATGTGAGATAAAAGTGCCGGATGCACCTAAGAATAAGACAGGACATTCTTCTCTCTCTGGGCCCAGGTAATCAGGAGAGAATTTCGATGAGTGTCTCAAAATGCTGAGGTGGGAGGAGCTGACTTCCTTAGGGAACTGGGGAAATAAATCTAGGTACCTTCCTCCTTTCCGTAACCCACCAGCCCCCCATCTGACCCTGCCAACAGAAGCCAATGCAGATGAACAGACATCCTCTAAATTTAGATGTATTAAAGCACCTGGAACAAAAGTGGGTACCACATGTACATAATACAACCTTCATTTCCATTTTCTCCACCTCCCTAAATCCAGGCTCTTCATAAGACCACCAGCCCACACCTCTCAGCCATAGCCCACTGCTGGGGAAGAATAAGAATTTGATCAAAGCCTTTGCAGAGATTACTTTTGAGGACACTGATCCTTGCCCACCACAAAGGTGTGAGGGATGACAGCTGTAATAAGTTAAAATCAATACACTGTACATGTAGGATAAAGACACAGAAACAAGCGAATTTGGACGTTGCAATGGAAAGTCATAGACACTCAAATGCCCCTTCAAGGAAATTCTGGTTGCCCTACCTGCCAGAATATCATCAGCAAACAGCTTTCGGGTGTCAGCCCCTTCAGAGATGGCCTCGGCGTCAGAGAGCTGCCTGGACCAAGATCATGCCTCTCCCATGACACCCACATCCAGGGACTGTGATCAAGGTGGGAGTATGAAGCCACTGGACAGCTTGTACCTGCCAGCTTCTGAGTCCAAAATTATGGTCTGTTGGCTACCCTATTTTCTGTTCTTTCATCATGCCCTAGCTATAATTATTCTAGCTTTAAGACAAGTTTTAATATTTCTAGTGGTGCAATGCTCCATTATTATTCTTTCTAAAGTTTATTGATTTATTTTTTAAGATTTTACTTATTTATCTGAGACAGCGAGAGAGTGAGAGAGCAGGGGCAGAGGGAGCAGGAGACTCCATGCTGAGCAGAGAGCCCAACGCGGGGCTCCATCCCAGGACCCTGGGATCATGCCTTGAGCCGAAGGCAGACGCTTCACCGACTGAGCCAGCCAGGTGCCCTCTTTCAAAAGCTTATTGGTTATCCTTACTGTTTTCACTGGGATTCCATTAAACATTTCAATTAAACTTATGAAGGATGACAATGTGGCATTCCCTCCAGGCTTGCCATTTACTCAATGTCTCACAGTAAAATCTTGAGGTTATAAATTCTTAGAGATATTAAAGAACTAAAAAATTCTATTATTAGAATATTATACCCTGTCATGCAAAGATACTCAATACTATTGATTATTCCTACTGTCAAATCACTTGGTATTTGAAATTGATAGGCTGGCATCCTGCTACTTACAATTGTGGCCCAATACAATCATGCCTTCCCTTCCCTTTTTCAGACTGAAGTGATTCTGAGATGGTCTTGGCCCACTGTTTCTCAGCCTAGTGGTGAAGACCAAAAACTAAGAAGCAAAAAGCTGATGTGTGATATGAGCTGTTCAAGGCAGTCAACTCGCCAGAAATGAAGACAGAAAATCAACTCTGGCTTATAGGGAATGAAGCTAGGAAATAGCTGGGATGATAACGTTATTCCCTTTTTACCTACTAATCCACTAAATGCTGCCCAACCACAATTGTAGAATAAGACAAAGAAATATTATTTATAACTATAGAGC